ACCTTTCACCTTACAGACTCCACGGTACGCCTAGAAGTTAGTAAATATACAGAAATAGTTTTTTTTTGTTAGTACCTCCCTTTTATTTTAATTTGCTTGGAATAAAAAAACCGGTGCTTTCACTTATCACACAGTGACGTCACAGAGATATCATGGTGCCATCTCTCAGGCCAGTTCGATTTTACCTCAGGATCTTCCTGGCAGAGGACAAGGATCGCTGTTCACACAGAGAAACACAGGTACCCCAAAACAGCACAGGGGAAGGGGCAATGGCCGCCTCAGGTGGGTCAGCCAGTGCTCCAGAAGATGTGTCTGACCCAGGGGTGGATCAGCCCCACCACCCTGGAAGGCAGCAATAAAGAACACAGGGAGGTGGGTTTGAGTTCCCCGTGATCCCAGGGAAACAAGCCGCCATCTTGAGCATAGGCCGCCATTTTGTGTCAGCTTTGCTTTATTGACTAGGCCTGTTCCCCCAGATAGGTCTCACTGGGGGACACCACAACGTGGCTGCAAGTCCTTTTGAGGAGGAAAAAAAAGGGGAGGTTTAAAACTTAAACTTGTAAGTCCTTTTTTAAAAAAAAAAAAAATTTAAAAAGTTCCAGAATAATCAAAATCCAGACTTGTCTTCAACAGCCACATAATTTGCAGGTGAACTTAAAAGTAGCAATACACATTATGACACTGCAAAGTCTATATTGGTATCAGTAAATTAAGTCTTAATGGAAAAACCCTTTCTGCTTCATCAGACTTGCAGGCTTTGTGGTTTTATCATCAGTGAAAGGACCAGCTGAAGAATCACCAGTAGAAATCTCGGCCCTAAAGAGTACAAAGTCAAGATTGCCATTAAACATTTCATAGGGTTTCCCCTTTTAGCAACAGCTGTCAAAACAGATTGTAAGAGGGTCGTGTTGGGGTTGTTTTGTTTATTTAAAAGAAACAAACAACTACAGATGCCCAGTCCAGCATCAAAGAAACCATCACCACTTATGGAGAGAATTCACACTTATATTCAATTTGAGCAGCGCTTAGTGTATCTGTTAGCTGGGATGAAACCACTACTCTGCTAGGGGTGAAGAACCTTTTCAGAAGTAAATTGTCTCTAAATACTTGCCTGAGAATCAGAGGATAAGGCTCTGTTTAAGGAAAAAGCTTTTTTTGCTCAGCTGTTGCAAAGAGGTGTCCACGTGATTAAACTGAAATGAAAGTGTATTAGAGACCTTCCTGCTTCTGAGTTTTTTCCCTGCCCACAAAATTTCACCAGAATAAGAAAGTGAAACAAATCAGATGTGGTTTGTTTTGTCATCTGGACATTTAGCAGACATCTACATTGTTCCATAGCTTAAGGCATTTTGGGTTTGGTTTTGTGTGTGTGTGTGTGTGTGTGTGTGTTTTGTTGTTGTTGTTGGTTGGTTGGTTTGGTTTTTTTGGGGGGTGTGTGTGGTTGGTTGGTTTTTTTTTTTTTTAGATCCAGGAGAAAACACCATAAATTAAAAACCTCAAAATTTGTAGACATTGTGTGGAGAAAAAAAAATAAATTGAATATGAATGGATAGTAAGAGACATGATCCTAAAGAAACAAAACTGATTAGATATTCCTATTTATGTTTTATTTTTAAGTATGTTAGAACTGGAGTTGCCTTTTGTCCCCTCAAAACCAATGAGAATACTTTAACATCAGGAAGTTGGTAGGATACATTGATTTAATGAAAGGTTGGGGCTCAGTGCAAAACTTCCCAGCTTATAAATATGAGTTGTTTTGAGCTCATTTAGCTCTTTTTATTCATGAGCAAGATCACAAAAAAACAAAACAAGTTCATGCAGTTCTAAGGAATAATGAAGTAATCATAAAAAGGCTATTTCAAAAATAGCCATTATAAGCTAATAGCCAAACTAAAAGTAAAAATAGGTGCACAAGGGTCTGTTTAATTGCTAATGGATACAGGAGCAAAATGCAATCTGTTACTGGCTTTGAAAACTGCATATATTAATAGATAATAAATAGATAAATTGTCCAGAAAGTTCTTCTATTTTAGGCATCAAGACCACATGACATGCCTTTGACTCCTACAACACACACCTGCAGGGGTAGTTAAGGTTTTTAAATGAAAGTTTTCTTGTTCTAGTAAAAGAAACTGCAAGTTGAGAGCCTCAGCTTCATCCGAATGGAAGAGTATCTGAAGCTGGAGCCATCCTTGATGTCTTGCAGCTCCTTCACAGCTCATGCAGTTTAACCTTCTGTGGTATAAAGGTATGGCTCCTACAAGTCATGGAAAATAACTGTGGGGTTGTTGGGTTGTTTGGGTTTTATCTTTTGAAAGAGAATAGGTATGAAGTTAAAGATTTTCAAGCTTTTACCGTTAATTACAACAGTTTAAAATCTGCAAAGGCAATTGTACAAGAACGTAATAGAGAATAATAATATCACTCATACCAAAATAAAAGCACCAAAACTAAGAAGGAAAGTTTCCTGCACATGCCAGGCCACTCCTGTTTATTATTTAAATCCAGATCTTTATTAATAAATAACAGTAACTAGTAGGCCCACCAAAAAAAGTATGTGAATGTTACTAGCAAATTTTTTACAATTCCATTTCAGACACTGCAAACCACAAAATTGCCACATACGTATTTTCAAAAATCAGCAGACCAAAGGCTTTACCTGAGAAAGGCTCTAACCAGATCAGAACTTGATAGCAGGCTCTTTGGCCCTATAAATAGCACATCCCTGTGTCTGTGGGTGGGACTAAGGAATCCTCTTTTCCTGGTGGGCTGAGCTGGAGATGAGGCTTTTTCCTTCTGCCCTTCTCATCAGCAGTCCATTAGCAACCGTCCAAAAGTGAGCCTCATTTAGGCAGGTTAAAGCCTCTGATGCCTTCATAGTTGCTACAAATTAGCAAATTAGGTGATGTAAGGGGGGAAGAAGGGCCAAAATAATTATAGATACCAGGGTGGTTTTGTTTGGTTTTGTTCTTTCAGGAAAGCCTAATTATTACAGAAGCAATTTCCCTTCAAGGCAATACTACTGCCAGATTCAAGAATCCTTACAGGAGACAGGTGTGTATTCTAATAAGAGTAAAATTGTACAAATCCTACTGCTATCAACCAAAAATGCTATCACATTGCTGTTGTTTGACAATTGGCACATGGCTGCAAACAGCTGAAGGCCACAGGTCCTGCCCTGGAGGATTTATCCTGTGTGCAGTTCAACGGTGTGTGTTTCTGTCTTTGTTTTAAAGCACTCTGCGTTCAACATTCGGTCCATCTTCCCTTTATTCTAATCTTCTTTTCTTCTGACTGCTCAAACCCAAGCTTGAACACAGACTGTTGCAGTCAATTATCTGAAATCTTGCAGTATCACATGCTCAAAGCCCCTCACATTCGCTGCAGTAGGTGAGCACTTGTAGCTTCTCTCGCTCTTGCATTGTGATGCTTTTGTGGTATTTAACGCTGACATTTTTAGCCCTTCCACATTTAATTCTCCCCCCCCTCTCCAGACCTCACTGTTGCTTAAAATATCATGGCTAAATTTACTCTAGAGATGTAACATCCCTGTATTAAGACCACTGACAGCAAGGCGTCAAGTTTCTCGGTTTCTACAGAGAAACCTATTTGTGTTGGTGCATCTGCTGAGAGTCCCCTGCTCTGGCTGTGCCTGTGCCATTGTCACTGTGCTCGCTGCCACCTCCTCACAACTTTGGAAGTAATTACTTTTTGCAGTATCAGGGGATCTCCAACATCCAGGGGCCACGTTGCTCAACTCAGTCATTGTCTGGGTGCGCTGACACCCATTTCAGAGACTCCTGACTCCATTTTGTGTGACTGGCCCCCTGATTGAGATCACCTAATTACAATAATTAGGCAGCTCACCTCAGGATATTATGAGAGCAACCCACCCAAACCTAAGTCCATATGGTTTGAAATAGCTAATGAGTCAGTTAATGTGCTATGTCCAGGAGTAATGGACACTCAATATGGATGGCGTGGAGGCATCATTTACCAACTTCCTGACTGATTAAGGTTTTTCATGTGGACACTTCTTGTATTTTGCATCTCATGGCAAGTTCAGAGTATTAAAGGCTTTTACATGTTAAACAGAGCAGAGGAAAACAGCTGAGAGTTTTAAAAGGCAGGTAAGAAAATACTCCTCTCTCTAAAGAAAATACAGAAGATTGGAAATCTTGGGAGTTTCCTCTGAAATATAATACTGGACATTATTTGAATGATGCTAATAAAATACAGATGATGACAATGACAATAGGTGACATCTGCTTTAATGTAAAGTAGCCTGAATGAATGACTCCCACACTTCTAGAGGGGCCACTTTAGCCTCTGGAATTTATGTATCCAGTCTCTTTTAACACTCCCCCTGCTACCGATGCCATGGAGTTGAGCAGCAGTTCTGAACTAACCAGATCAGGGGATCAATACAAGGGCAAACCTTTTGGCAGCAGAGGCACCAAAAGCCCTGAAGCAAGTCACAAGGGCTGTCTGGCTTCTGAATGAACCACAGAATCTATCTGCTCAGCCAGGGCGAGGGTTCCTGTCCCTAAGTCTGTTCCTGCTCTCCTCATTTTCATGGCTGTTGGGATGAGATGGGACTCCCTGTTCCTGTCACTGTAGCTGAAAAGATAGGCAGACCCTGGGTGTGTTCCTTACCTCTTGGGTTTCAGAGGTTTTCTTGCTGGTGCCTTTACAAAGCACTTATTTCTGAGCACTGAAGGAAAAGCATTTTCTTTCTCAGGTTTACTTTCTTTCAGAAACGTGTGAAGAGGTGATCTAAGTTTATTGCTGTTGTGGGAATGGCTTGTATTTGCAGGGAGAGCAGGATGTCTAGTGGCTGGAGCAGAGAGGGGGATCAGGAATGATTTCCCTTATGGGACTAATTCTGGAGTCCTAATCCTGGCTCTGCTACTGACTGACTTTATATGAATAATTTCATTTTTGTGTCGTTTTATCCATTTGAAGCAGCGTGGGTGGCTTGGGTGGAGGCACTGAGATTCTCAGGAATAGGATAAAGAAATTACAGTAATATTAGTAGTAGCACACCAGTGTTCCTGGTCAACAAGAAGCAGTGAATTCTGTAGTAGTGTATGTGAAAAGGTTTAGAGAAGCCAAGAGGAATTTGGAAAGCACTCGGGGAGAAGGTGCATATAATCACTTCAGTCTTTCCATTTCTGAGATTAACCACATGAAGTTGTTCAAGAAGGGAAAGTCATCTGTCATAGCATTCATTATTCACATATCAATGCTACTTTTTATGTATAAACTTAATTATGATGAGGGGATATATTAAATATGACTCGTTTTACTGCAAGATTGATTTTTTTTTCCCCTGACCTCAGAATAAATATTGATCTTCATGATCTTTAAATGTAGTGCAAAGGTTGTTTTATTAATGGCATATTAATAGAAAGTAGCCCTGACCATGCAATATTAATATATTTGCATTGTTATTCTCAGATCCCATCCAGAAGGAAGGAGGCAGGGTGCCAATACCTTCTTTCCCAGGAAAGATCAGGAAGCTGCTGATTTTAATGACTGTTAAGTCTCCTTTCAGTTTGTTGTTGTGTTTTGGTTTTTTGGTTTTGGGATGTGTTTGGGAGTTTTTTCATTTAAAACAGGGATTAAATGACCAATGTAGTATATGATATGCCTAATAAAACAGTGATATCTCGTGTGTCCAGCATTCCCAGGAAAGCAAGGCACTGTCCTAACCTGGTGGTGCTCCACCACCCACTGCCAGGGGGTCAATTCCATGAGCAGAATCACGGTGGAGAGAAGACATGGGATAATTTGGTGCTTTGGCAGTCAGTGTCTGGGGCTCTGATTTCTTCAGTAATCAGGCTATTAATTTTACTAGCAGCTGATGTTTAACAGCAGTTATCTTAGTCAAGTGAGGGTTTCCTTAATTAATTTATTTTTCTCTTCTGTCTTGCATTTCTAGCGACTCTTGAAAATCCAGGCTTGGAGCTGCTGTTCTGACGGTTGGCTGAACCAAGGCAGGTATGTTGTTTTTAAATACTCCTCACAGAAGAATTGTAAGTGATTTTTTTCTAAAGTCTGCTCTATAAAGAGCAGGGATAAGAGATCACACACTGCAATAACCTTTGAATAGTTTCTATAATTCCTGAGAAAACAGTGCCCACTTAGCTAAAGGATTTATAAACCCTGTTTTATCAGCAGTCTTTCTGTTTCATACATATTTTGAGTGCTTGGTGCCAGGTGACAAAAGTCAAGAGAGAAGATGACAACTTCCATTCCAGAGTGTGTAGAACCAAAGGAAATAAATATGTGTCCACTATGACCCATTGCCCTACAGGAAATACTTACAATTAAGAAAGGACTGTGCTATAAGCCACTAAAAACCTGGCAGCCTGACTTCAAAACTTTGCAGCTTTACAACTAATTTTGAAAGAAAGAATAATCACAGTCCATTATGATAACTGGAAAGGGGAATAAAAGGCACTACTGCTTTGGGTCGTGCCAAAATAACTTGGTATCTCTCTTTGCTAAGCAAACTGATTTGGTAGACAAGAGAATTGTGATAGAACCAGTTCATTTGGACTTCAAGGCATTTAATGCTGAATGACATGGGAAACTATTAATTAAGCTGGAGAATGTGTAAGTGCAAAAATGAAATGGTGGGCAAGGAATAATAAACTGAAAGGGGAAATAACCAATGACAGAGGTTACCAGTTTCCAAGGGATCTACCTCAGGACCTGTTTCGTTCAGTATTGCTGATTTCATGAGCAACAAAACCAAAACAGATGTGTCCTTAACCAATTTTCTGGAAAAATAAAGTTGTGAGTCACTGGAGTGTTGGTATAAGAGAAACAAAACAGAATTTCAGGATATAAAACTTAAGGTTGTGCTTCTTGAAACTGCTGGTTTGGAGGAAGAAGAGGAGAATCACAGGATGACCATGAGCAGGTAACGGGCCTTTAGATGTCTGAAGAAAAGTCAGACTTGATTCTAAGGTTGTATCAAATAAGGTTGTATCAAATCAAATATTTTTTGATGAAATTCAGAACACATACTTGGTAGCCTTTTACTGAGAATTCAACTGCACATCCTGTCCACTCTGTAAGTGTTAAATCATGAAGGTTGTCTCAGACAGGGCAGAGGGCAGTGATCATATCCAGTTTTCCTGTGAAAAGCAGAGCTGGATTCTGGAGGGGAAGAGGAGCTCTTCTGCTGGAGGGCAATCCTTGTAAGAAACAGATCTGATAAGAAATGGGGAAGAAATTTCTTGCCAGAGGCAGAGTAAGCAGAACTCTGTGGCTTTTCAGATGTCAGGTGTGTTGCGGGGTAGGAACACACAGAAACCCCTTTGCATAAACAGTAAGTGGTAGGGAATTAATTATCTTGATAGTTGAAGAGCTGGGCAGAGAACACAAATAGAGTATTTGTTTTGTACCTTCAGAAGTACCATGAAAGGTAATAATGAGGCTGCAGGTATCATGATGTGTATTATAAGTAGATATTATAATGTTTTAGAATATTCAGGTCTGGATTTTGCAGTCAACCCATCTTTGCCTCATGATGTGAACACCTATTACTTGCATATACTTGCATTCCTTGCACGGGAAAAAAAGGCAAGAACTGATGAGTTTTGAGATAATTTTGTTTTTTCCCCATAGGATTTTCTAGGAAAAGAAGTGATTTCAGCCAATTTAAGCACTGTTATTAGTTTGGTGCTTCCAAAGTGTAGAGATACAATAATGGCTCTTCCAGTAAATTAAGACAATGGCATTTAACTAGTGTTCCAGTAACATCCTGGGCTCAGTTTGTCCCAGAAGTTTTCAAGGGAAAATTGGAACTGTTTACTTGGTGGCTTAATGTTTTGATGAAAATGTAACTTTTTTGCACTTTGCTGTGACTTTAAAAATGAGTAACTAACTTACATATTAGGGTTATCAACAGACACAGTTAATGTGTGTAACTGCACAGGGTCCTGTGAATTTGCTTGTGTGTGTGTCTGTTCTTCGCTCGTCTGCTTCTGAGTGTGATATTTTATTGGAGCACATGATTTAAAGGAGCTGATTGCCTGCTAGGGTATTTATCCTATATAAATTCTGCATTAAATGACAAATTTTAGACCCATCAGAGGCAGAAGACCAAGTCCATCCGTTGAAATGCTATTTGTATTATTACTTTCTGATGAATTCTGTACTACAGCAGGTGTCAAATCATATCTGTTGTTTTGCAGTGGAGGATGAATAGAAGATGTATTGCTACTGCAAATGAATCTAATATGAATCTAATGAGCAGTAATGAGCAACTGTTTTGTCATTATTGAGGCAACCACTGTGATGCTAATAAACTCTCATTTCTGCTCTTTAGAAAAAAGCACTGACCAGGATTTATAACGTGGCCTTAATGTCCCAAAAGCCTGAGGCAAAAGAGAAGAGTGGAACCCCTAAACTGAGCATAATTTAGTAATTTTCTGTGTGGCAGGCTTCTTATTTTCTCTTATTAAACGAACCCTGCTTTAAGTCTTTCAAGCTTTCTTACATTTGAAAGGAAAAAGATGAAGAATGAGTGTCTATTAAGGGAACATAAAGTTAAGGAGATGGGCATTCTGCCTTAATTTTCTTTAACATAAGTGCCCTAATTCCGTACTTCTACACTTGGCAGTGCTTTTGTAATGATACGGGCAACTGTGTGCAACTGTTTTAAAAGCAGTCACTTTGAAAGTAACAGGCCATTAAATCAGTATAGAACTATAATATATTTGGGGCAAATATCACAACTCTTTTAATTGAAGTTTCATTTTTTAATTTTTTTAAATTTATTCTCCATGGATCGTAAGAGTGCTGAATAAACAGAAATACCTTTGACACAATGGCATCAATAGCTGTAGCACATAACTGAAATGTAAACGAGTTCTGACTCCTGTGCGGCTCTGCCTTTCCCAAGTATCAATAATACATGGAATGGTACATAAAGCTGTGGAAAGGGGACAGCTGGGTACACGGTGCTCACAAGTGGAGCACAGGAAAACCGGGCAGCGCTGCTTCTCTAAAAGCTAAGTACTATCCTTCCATCAAAAAATAATGCTTCTGTGTATACAGTCTTCATGGACTCATCTCTCTGTGCAATAAAGCTGGATGCACTGGAGAGATCATTCCAGTATTTCATTTGGAGCTCTGAACTGTTGTGTGTAGGGGGCAGCTGTTTGCTTTACTACAGTACACTGCAGACTTGCTGTAACTGCTCAGTGGAGACTGTGTGGGCAATATTTAAGGTATTCTATAGACACAGCAGTGGCCCTGGGAATTCCTGAGCGAGCCAGGGCGTGGGCGCCGGGGCAAATGACAGCAGCCATCTCTCAGAGCTGCAAACAGGGTGTCAAAGGGGGTGTGAAAGCCAGAAACTGTTCCTTCAGTGCTGGGGCATCCCGAGGACTTGGGGCACTCTGAGCAGGAGCTTAGTTAGCGAGAGAGTTCTCACTTCCTGACGTGGCAGTTCCATCTGCTGCTGGAGGAGGGAGGGAAGCAGAAGTCGGGCTTCCCTTGGTTGCCCTACCTGTGCTGTTGTCGGGATGGGCCTTTGCAATCAGCTTCTCCTCCCAGCGTCAGTCATACATGGATCAGATTTACTCACCCTCTGGGGACACCACAGGATTGGGTTTTAGTAATGCTTGATGTGCAGAGTTGAAAAAGGCAACTGAGCCCAGCAGCATCAGTGTTCTAGAGCTCACCTTTCTAGATGTATCCACGCTCACTCCAAAACTCACGTGGCTTCTTTCCCTCCTGAAGGAGTTAGTTCTCATACTCCTCAGCTGTTCTGTACCACAAACCAAGGCATGGTAAGGGGAGACAATCAGGAAGTATAACCCTGGTCTGAACTAAAACCCTGGTGGAGATGCATCCATGGGCTGGAAGAAAAGGTGAAGCAAAAACAGGCCCAAGTCCAAGCGTTAGTGTTAAACCAGCACCTTTAGTCAGGAGAGTTTGTGAGTTGCACATGATGATAAAAGGACTGTGGTTCTAAAGTTTTTGTAAGAAATATCTGATTTCTTTGTGCATTATGGTGTAATGTACTGTATTAATTTCTTTATTGGGAATTTGATTCCTTGGATGATACATAAATTTTTGTGACACAGCACATCTAATGAGGGCTTTTACACTGTTTGAGGAATTAATTGTACCACACATAGAAGTTACAGTTTCAAGGTGTAAATTAATATTGCATAAAAGTTCAAGACTATTAATATTTCATTGTGGTATCTACAAATTCACAAAATCATAGAAATTCAGCTGAGGTCACTACAATTTTTCTGCCAGTATGAGATAAAACTACCTTGTGTGAGTGTCTGTCCCTGCCACTGTCATTACGTCACTGCAGTGACCTGCTGTAACTGAGTGGTTCATCCACTGGGGCTTTATGGAAAGTAGATTGGCATGGGAAGGCATTTGAGGAAATCCCTTAAGGATGTACATATCACTTGCAGGAATCCAGAGGCATGTGTCTTTAGGAAAAGAAAAAAGATTGCCTTCCAAGAATCCCAGCCTTCATATGCTACTACTTTTTACATAAATAATGAAACAGCTGTTTAGCATAACCACTGAAAGCACTGAGAACACCAAACCCCAGACAGTCTCCAGAGACAGCCCTCCCTTTGCTTATGGCTGTCTTCTCTGTTCTGCTGCCTCCTCAGAGTAAATGTCAACAGCAAATTAATCAAGGGGTCATTAAGCTCTAATAATCTATCCCAGTCCATCCCCTCGTTCACATAGAATGGAATCACAGAGTCACTTAGGTTGGAAAAGACCCTTAAGATTGTCAAGTCCAACTGTTAACCCAGCACTGCTGAGACCACACTAAACCAGGTCCCTGAGTTCCAAACCTACTCCTCTTTGAAATCCCTCCAGGGATGGTGAATCCACCATTTCCTTGGGCAGCCTGTTCCAGTGCTGGACAACCCTTTTGTGGAAAAATCTTTTCCTGTTATCCAATCCAAACATCCTGGGGTGCAATTTAAGGACGATTCTTCTCGTCCCGTCACTTGTTAGCTGGGAAAAGGGACTCTCCCACCCGCAGTTCTCTGCCTGCCTCTGTGGGGCTGGAGCAGGGAAAAAAACCACACCTTCCAGTCTCCCCTGTTACCCACTGCCTGTGTCCATACACGGGAGGTCAGTAATCTCTGTTGAATCCTTTTTGGTGATGTGACTCACCTGAGGGAGTTAATGCTTGGGGACAGGACGCTGGAAACCAGCTGACACCCTAGGAATTTTGGGGAGAGGTTTTGGTTGGCATGTGCTACATTTCTGGCAGAGGTGGGCATGAATAATATGAATTAGAGAAGAGGAGGAAGATTTGCAGGGATCTTGTGAAATTAATTCTTGCTCACAGGCTATAAAAGTAAGCTTTGTTTCAAAATAAATTTCTGTCAGCTCTTCTGTCCTACCAAGTTATGACAGGCCACAAATTCGGCCCCTTTAAATGACTTGGGTGTGCAAATTACAGGGTGAAGTTTTATAGCTTGTGATTATTAGAACAGATGATCACAGAGGCTGTCACAGCCTTCGCAGCTCTGGAATTTCTAGACCTTTCAACTGTATTGTTAATCAGATATATGCATTATTTTTAGTTTCATAGCAATTGTGCTCAGTAGTTTTACTTAATTTTGTAATCCTAAAAGAAACCAGTTCAGTATTAATGCCCTGCAGAAGGTACTTGTTCCCCACAACTAGATGAATTAGAATTGCTTAATTTTCACAGCACTTTCTTTCTGTGTCTAAGTTCTCAAGTTCCCCTCAAGCTATCAATGATCTTGTCATTCTGTAGCTCTCGTGTGCTTTGTTCCTTGACTCTTTAGTGGAGTTCCACTGTGGCTTTTAAATCTCTTTTTTTAATAGCTAAATGCACAAGGGAGTGAGGTTCATTTCTAGTTCTTGCAAGTTAGTTGTTGTCCCCAGTTCTTCTGCACTGACACAGGCTTAGTTTTTGGCAAAAGGAAGAGTAAGGTAGTTCCAAACACTCTCTGTGTGTGATTCCTCAGTAGTGGGATGCTTTTGTGTTTGTCTAATGCAAGGCCTTAATTTCATCACTGTTCTTACTTACTGTTATTGCTGCTATAATAACAACAACTTTTTTTAAAAAAGAACATTTAAGGGAAGAAAGAGTTTTATGGATTAGACTAAGAAGTCATTTCTAAACAGAGAAAGCATAAAAGCCGCCTTGCTATTGTAGTTGGGGACAAAACAGGCCAATGAGACCGTTGCAAGCAATAATCGTGGGGAGAAAGACACAGATGAGCCTCTGCAGAAGGTTCTGGTGACAGTCATCCAGCTCCTGATTCCTGCAGGGAAATCCAGGGAACACAAGGCAAAGGACATCCAGTGTAGTAAGCGGAAAAACAGCAACAGACGGTTTACATCCCAGGTTTAAAGGGATTGTAAAAAGAGAAGTAAAAGAGCGTCAGGAAAGAACATAGTTCCTTGTTCTTTAGGGCAGGAATGCTGGAGACTTCTGTAACTTCAAGGATCTTTGTTTTCAGTGCCTGGGATGATTTTTCATTTAGTTTCCTGAGGGCTCCCCAAGATTTATTTTTAAGGTGCAATGGATAAACAAAACCTTATTTGCAGTTTCTCATTCCAAGTTTACAGTGCAAACATTGTAATAAATGCAGAATGCATGCAAAACATCTGTCAGAACCTGACATTATTTCCTCTTTATGGCTCAGAGTGGGCTTTCATTAATTGGTTGTAAAACGAAAATATCAAAAAGCTTGTTCAAAATGCACAGTAAACCCCACAAATGCTTAGAGGGCTGTGTTTATAAGTGTGATTTCCATGCTGACATTTGCATGAGTCAAGGAACACAAGCAGATGAAACAGAAATACAGACAAAGTATTGGAAGGTCCGAGAGTTCCGTGAATTATTCTTCTGCTGTTCTTTAGTTTTGTTCTTCTGTTAGAACAGGCAAGTTTGTTGCTTGGTTCTCTTGGATTCGAAAGCAGCTCCTGTGTTGTAAGGTGCTGTGAGCTGGTGTGTGAAGGACTGTCCCCAGTGACATGTGGTGCTCACGCACAGGGTCACTTGAGGATTTGGCACTTTGGCAGAAAAACCCCAAAGCTTTGTAGTTTACGCATCAAACCACTCACAAGCCTCTTGTCTGCACCAAGCTTTAGACTCTGGATTATCGTAAGAGGGAGGGGCAGAACCTGTTAAAGAACTTGCAGTGCTTTGGGAGGGAAGCAGTTGAGAGTGGAGAAGAGCAGATGCTTTCACTGGTGTGCTCACCAGTGAAGTCCCGAGTCACTCCCAGGGTTTCAGTGGCATCTCAGCTCTCTGCTTCGTTGAGCCTCCACAGACAATTACTCTGGTGACTTCACTGATGAAAATTGAGCAGTGTGGGGTACCAAAGGCAGCCAAACAAACTCACCTGGATCACTGTTTAGACTCTGGTGAGGCTTGCATGTTTTGCAGGTGCCTGTCCAAGTTGTGTAACACCCAGTCATAAGAATCTGCATTTTTTCACAGGGTGTCTCAATCTGTGGGGGGTTTTGTTGTAGTTGGGTTTTTGTTTGGTTGGTTTCTCTTGAATTAAAGCATTGATTTCCCAGAAAAGCTCAGGAACAGAGTGAAATACCAGATGATCTCTAGATTCCAAGGAATGTGTTTAAAACATATTTGAATCTTTTATTTTTATATTTTAATCCATAGAATTGTACCTTGTGTGAGAGACATGTAGCATTCCAACTCACTACCAAAATAGCTTTTCACAGGTACACTTTAATTAAAATATTTTATTTTTTTTTAAATCAAATGAAAATTCTGTCAACTATTTATTTGCTTTCTCCTCTGGTTTTCCCCCTTGTTAAAATTGTCATTTAGGGATTATAATTACTAATGATTTGTCATTTTTCTATAATTCTGAGCAAATCCACTGAGTAAATTGTAACATATTGAACAGCATATCTAGGATAATTTCTATTTAATGAAGGTTTGTATAACATTCTATTAAATATAGTGTTATGAAATCGTAGTTTATTAAACAAAAGGAAGGTTTCCTGCACAACTTATTCTTGCAGAAGGTTTTCAAAGATTCTTAGAGTGTTTGGCTCTTCAGAAGGAACTTGGACACAGTTTTTTTGACAGAATTATCATCCCTGGGGCAGGTGTAGTTACAGTCTGATTCAGTTTTTCTTTGAGGCTCTGCAGGATTGCAGAATATTCAGAATATTCTTGGAAG